ATATATATATATATATATATTTACACTTATATTTCTAGATAGCCCCGCCGGCGACACCATTGCAAGATTTCACCTACCACTGGAAACAATTGATGAACTTCTATGTGAGTCATCTGACCGATTGCAAGGTGCCTGTACAAAACACCAGTATACCCCGGCATCTAGATGTATTACTGGATATCTTATTACAAGAAGAGAAAGAAGAAAACGAACCGGGACCTTGCCTAGAATATCTTTTACAGCACAAACTCTTGGATCTGCTGGCGACCTTGGCTAGCGCAGAGACACCGCCTGGCATGCGAACAGTGTGCCTTGCCTTTCTGAGAAAATTTTTAGGCAGGTCAATATACCCTTTACTGCATCACACATCTATCTATGCGCCAATACAACGATTAGTGGCACTCTGCAATGGCAATCCACCGTCACCAATCGAGGCTGAAGAGGTACGATTAACAGTGAAATCGATTCACTGCAGTTTATATTTATGAAAGGAGAGTAATTTTCATTTTTTCATGATCGTTTGGAGATCGTTTTATTTCTACATGTTTTGTGTATCTTTATAATGTATTTACGTGCGTGTGTATAAAATTATTAATCGTGTAGAATAGGGAAAGCTTTTCCAGATAACTGTGATTCCTTGAAAGCATAGATTCCTTGTTTGGTTAACGAATTTTGAGTCAATTCAAAAAGAAGGATACAACTTTTTTCGCAACCGTTCAGGGATCGTTTTATCTCTACATTTTTAAATGTATTTTTCTTTATGGAAATCGAATTAATTATCATATGATGCTATCAGCTATACTCAAGGAAAAATTGATACATTGGCATAAAAAATAAAATCCTTATTCAGTTATGCTTCAATATCATTTAAAAACTATTTCAGAGTTTTTATCTAAATGACTCTAGAATAATTAAGGCATAACTGACAGCGATTTCGTGACAATATGAATAAGGATTTTATTCTTTATTTCAATATACCAATTTTTCGAATGGTAACATCATGGTTATCATAATTTTCGGTTTTTAAGAAGAAAAATAATATAAGAAAATGTAGAAATAAAACGATCCTCGAACGTTCGTGAAAAAAATTGTATCCTCTTTGAATTTACTCAAACCTCACCAACAAAATAAAGAATCTATAATTTCAAGGAATCAAAATTGTCTGGAAAAAAACTTCCCCTATTCTACATGATAATAATTATATACACACACAGGTAAAGATCAGTTGTAAAACTCCACGAAAGATTTACTTGAATATTAACTAAATTTTTAATTGTTTAATTAAAACAAACAGAAAAATTCTTGAGAAATAAAAAAATTTTTATTTTTCTTTATCTGATAACTTTTTTAAAAACATTATCATATTATTTTCTGTTATAATTATTTTCTTTTATTCTCTTTCGATTTGCAGAACAATTTCCCTATTTATTTCTTAATTAATACTTTTTACTCAGTTTGCATGTCGTTTCCAATCGATATCAATCAGTTGTGCTTGACATTAATATGCAACTGATTCGAAAAATTTATATATCCACTTACGTAATCAACTGCAAATAGCTTCCTAGATCCATTGCATTTCGTCCTGGTCTTGTTGGCGCAGAATCTTCTTCATATGTCTGGCGTGAAAAAATTATCCTTTTCCGTAGAATCGAGATGCACTAGTCAAACATACCAGGTATGTAAATATGAAACCGGAATTTACCCATAGATGGCCATAGCTGTCAATGTAGTTGCCGTCAGACCGTGTCATTGACGCCATTTCCTTGTTCTGACATCTGACAAAGATTTTCAACTCACAACAATACAAGTTTCAACAGTAAAGTTTGTAATAGCGTTGAACATGTCGAATTTTGTGCATGGAAACTACGATTTGCGGACAGCATTGATTTTCTGTTACCATTTGAAGAAAACTGCTGCAGAATCGCATCGAATGCTTGTCGAAGCTTACGGTGAG